AAGCAGATGTTGCAGTCGATGTTGCTGCAAAAATTAAGGCCTTTGCACCGTGTTTCCATTGTTGCCAAGTGGTTTTCGACGTTCCACTTTACAAGAACTCTGTAGTCTCGTATGGTGATATCCAATGGAAATTTAGTGAGTAGGGGAGCGGTAACAATGAGTTGGATTTCGCAGAGTCGTTCTGCCCAAAATCGAAGGTTTGTCCCTGCTGCGCATGAACCCTAAATCCCTTATCGCCACATGAGACGTGCATTCCTTTTGTGGAGTTGCCCTGGACAATGGTTAGAAGGTTTAGAATCATTATATAAAATAGGAACGATACGCCCTCTGTCGTCCTTGTGCTTATTGCGGTGGTCGCATTGTGAACGTGGCGTGTTGCCTTTCTTATGGGTTTTTAATGGGATTCTCGAAGAGATATCAAGTATTGTTGTTGCCAAATCGTCCAAAGCGTTCGATTCTTAGGCTTGGAGAATGGAGGGCTTCCAGTGCTTGTTGTCTCGAGCTTGGATCCCATGAGGGCTGTCCAAAGAAAAATAGCGCGGGTCTCGTGTTTCCAATTCAGTGTTACTGATGTGATGCTGAGGTTCACATCTCGTTGTAGAAAATCGCGGAGCGACGTAAATTCTTCTTGTACGACACTTTGATAAGTGAGGGGTCTGGAATTGAGACAGACTTCCACTTCAATTAAAAATGTGAGAATATCGTCGAAGAAGTATGTTTCCGAGTTCCTCAAGGCTTTGTAAATTGCTTGTTTAACTGATTTGATCAGACGTTCGCAAAATCCTCCTTGCCATGGTGCATAGGGTCCATAGGGTGTGTGCCTCCACTCAATTTCTTGGTTCAAAAAGGTTTGAGCGGCGTGTTCGATTGATCCATTGTTCTGCTCTTCTATGATTTTTGCGGCAAGCAGGAAAGTAGGAGCGTTATCGCATATGATGGTCTTCTGTGTGCCTCGACGTGCTATGAAGCGTCACAACGCGTTCAAAAATTCTTCAATCGCAATGCTTCGAACGATTTCGAGATGTATAAGGCGATTAACAGTGCATGTAAAGACGAAGCCGTGTAGTTTTATCCTTCCGTCATTCTCCTTGCACTGTGGTAGATCGAAAAATCGAGACTAGTATGTTGGGAGGGATTGCTTTCCAGCACTCGTCATTCCGGTAAGTCCGTGGTGTCTGGATATTGATATGGTAAAACGTTGAAACGTTAACACTTGATGCAGTGACTGACGTAATTGCGGACTTATTGCCTCAATTTCGGAATCCAGTAGCGCTCTTTTACTGTAGCTGTCGTAATTTCAATGCCTTTACGGTACTGTCCATGAGCTTCCTGTATGATGAGCTGTGCGAGAGCCGTGTTTGGCGTGAAAGGATGAGATCCTTGGTGTTGGAGTTGAGCGAACTTCCCATTCTTCCTTTCGAGCGCCAAATATTCCGCTTATCCTGGTAGGGCCGTAGGGAATTTTTCACATTTTCCCGGTACTCCTTTATAAGGATCAGCAACTGGTGGTTACGGATCAGTGCATATCTTCCTGACCCTACTTCGCTTCCGTTGATGTTGCAGGGTACGTCAGAAACATCCTTTATCTCTGGAATGTGCGCTACAATTCTATCCTTGGCGTTTTTTTTAATCTCCACATGGTTTTCTTCATAAGCAGAAGAATCCAGGTTGCTCCTCGTTTCGCCATCGCAAACGTGCTGTAGCGGCAGAGGTCCATGAGCGCGTAATGTGTCTCGTCTTGTTCGCGAGTGAAGTTGTCGTTGGTAAAAGCGCCGGAGTCGTCGCCAATTACGTCTTCCCAAAGCTGGTAGACTGGGCGCTGCCATTCCTTTATTGGCTTCTTCAAAAACTCTGGTCCTTCCCACCAATAGCGATCTTGCATTTGTTCTCTTGAGAGCCCTCTTGTTTCTGCATCCGCGGGTTTTGTGACGTATCCACATATGTGAAAAAGACTGTGATGAAATCGTTGTTCAATTGCGTGACAATTCTCCGTTCTTCAAACTCTGTTGGCAACCAAAACTCCGAGGCTAGCAGTGATTGGGGGATGTTAGCCAATTCAACGAGATTTGGGAGTCCGAGAATGCGTGAATAGTCCATGGATAACCCGCGATGCGTTCCCTTTAGTACTTGTGTTATCGAATTGGCTCATCGCATTGCCAAAGTGAAGGCATTCACTTCTAACTTTGGCATCGTTGTTTTTGACTTGATGGAGGGAAGTTTACACTTTGCCATTGCCATTTCTAAGTAGTGCTCATTAAAGATGTAGGCATTAGCCGCTATTGCGATTTCACTAGCATCTGCAAAGATTGCTAGATTTGAAGTGTCCGATATGGAGTAAGGTCGCCGTCCGCGGGATTGCTATTTCAAAGTTGGTTACGTTTTCCGCTAGAGTACTCCACTGCTCTGTCAGCTTTGTTGGAAGTTCCTTATCCCAGGAAAACTTCTCCTTCCATAGGTCCTGTTAAAACTTCTTTGCTTGAGTTAGCAGTGGCACCAACTAACCGAATGGGTCATACAGTGCGTTTCATAATTATAATGCCACCCCAGATTTTTGCGATTCTGGAGAAAGCAGCCGGAATGGAATTTTTTGGCAAACACAGGAAGATTCCTCGTCACAATGTACCTTCGTACTCAAATTGTGGTCGCAATATCCTTCACCTCAAATTTTTTACGAATTTTTTAAAGATAGTGTCGGCTTTTGCACCGTTTCATAATTATAAGGTCACCCTGAGAAAGTAAATGATTTATTAACGTTGTTGACATATGTACAACACTTAATAATATATAGCTCCTCCTTGTTTAAGAGCAACATCAAAGAGCCTGTGTGGCATACTAAATAGAAACTAGGTTTCGAAGATGTTCCTCATCGATTGCTCTCCATGCTTCGATAACTGCCCGCTTCAGCTCTTCTGTGCCCTGGAACTGACGGTTATTCGCATAAACCTGTCTGACTATTATGCCCCAAATATGTTCCATCGGATTCAGATCGGGACTGCAGGCTGGCCATGGCAGGGCGCTTATCTATTGGCATTGCAGCCACTCATCCGCTGCACGGCTCACATGAATGGANGTCTTCGACACAGAGAGGTTTAATTGCGATCGGATCTGGTTCAAGGAGGACGTACTGTTGGAAACAGTCCTCAGAATCTTCCGCTCGTCACGTTTAGTAAACTTTCATGGGTGTCCACAGTCGGTGTTATATCAAACGACATGATTACTCTCTAGAAATCTCCGAATGGACCAAGGGGATCTCTCTATTTGCCTGGAGATGGCTCGAGTACGGAGCCCACCTTCATGATGAGCCTTCTCATCAGAGGAAAGCAGATGACCACGAGCCATGTTGACAGTCAGGTTTAGAAATGCCTTTGCTACACATGTTTACCTTTGCAAGTATCTTCAAACACGAAATTTCCTCTCTTTCGTTAATAACTGTTCACTTTCTCGGGGTGACCTTATAATTATGAAACGGTGCAAAACCCGATAAACTGTCCTAAAATAGTTCAGAAAAATGCAGCTGCGGCTAGAAAACGGATACCTAGGTTATTCGTGCTGGGGAATCCGTTTATGATGCTAGAAAAAATCCTTAATGATTGCTTTTCTTGAAAGTGCAAAATTTGAGGGTGACCTTATAATTATGAAACGCACTGTATATCATGACAATCTGTAGTGCAATTACCCTTTTTGTGAGGCCAAGAATGCGAAAGTGCAGCGGATATTGATGCAATCGCGTTCTGCATCCCACGTAATTCCTAGTACCTTTCGAGTTATTCTCATGGCGTATGTCTCCGTGGGAAATTTGTCCTGTGGAGCGTCTTCGTTAGAGAGAAATCTCCCCAAATTCGTGCCTAAATCTTGAAATATCTAACGCGTTGTTAGCGATTTTTGAACCAACTCCTCTCCTGTAGATGCCGCGAGGATCAGGTTGTCCATATACAAGCTGTTGCGCATTTCATCAGCTAGTGTGGAATCGTCTACAGATGTGCGTAGATCGTGATGGATTGTTCCGCCCAGTAAGTAGGGGGAGACGTTTAGTCCAAAGGTTACTCGAGTAAAACGGAACGTGATGATGTTGTCCTGATTTATGGGCTGGTTGATGTTTCTGATCCACAGGAATCGTGTGGCGTCCCGGTACTTTTCATGTAGTCGGACCTGAGGGAATTCCTTTTCGACGTCCGCTATAGCCACGCACTTGGGAGTACAGAAAGAAGTAGCATGTCCTATAACTCAGTTAGTATGAGTGGCCCTTGATGCAGGACGTCGTTTAATGAGGGATTATCCTTGAAGTGTGCTGATGCATCAAACACAATCCTCAACTTCGTCGTTTTTTTGTGTGGGGTTAGTACTGGCTGATGTGGGACGTTATGAAGCAGAGAGCCCTTTTTCGGTAGAGCTCGTGGGGCTTCCTCGATGATACCGCTGCTCTCTGAGATTGAAAGGTTTCATCGTACTCGTGCAGTAAGTTAGGCTTCTTCCGTAGTGATTGTTTCACTGAGTGAAGGCGTTTGAGTGTAATGACCTTGTTTGAAGGAAGTTCACCGTAATTGTCCTTATAGGGGAACCGGATATAGTATCCATCCTCTCGCTTTTCTATGGAGTCTTTAAAAATTTTGAAATTTTGATTGATGGCTTCTTTTTCTGCGTTCTTTGTTCCGATGAAATCGCAGATTCTTGCATTATCCATGGGCCAGTATTTATTCCATCTTTCCTTTTCTTCTTCAAAGTTGACCATTATAAGAAACTAATGGTTTCCACCGTAGGCGAAACCTTTGGGTTGTGCGGGTGGCTTTGCTCTGTTATGCCTTTTTGTTTGCCTGTAATCAAATACCCTATCTTGGAGGGGGGGGGGGGACAATTGTAATCCAGATGGCAAGATGAAACGCGGATTTGGGACATCCAGTAAGTTCCATAACTGATCGCACCCAAGCACGATTCGAGGCTTAATTCTCTTTACGGTTTCCCTGCTGGGAAGGCGAATGTTGTATTGTCCAATAAAGGCCCAATTAGAGATCGCCAGGTGCGCAGCTTTGAATCGCCTAGGATCGCTTCCGATCCTGCCTGTACCGGTGTGGGTCTGTGCGTTCATCGCTTCCTCTATTCTCTCTTCGGTGGCTATTAGCTCATCTAGATCGGCCAAAATGGTCTGCATAGTGCAAATGGATTCTTGAGTTCCCGACTTTAAACGGTGCTTTAGCCCTTGACGTTGTAGCTCTGGTGAAAATTAGGAAATGGGTGAGTTTTTGTGAGAGATCTGAGCCGTTGAGGTATGCTCCTTTTTTCTTCTAGCTGAGTTATTATTGACATTACGAATTCTAGAAGTCGACGTTGTGCCGGAACCCTATTATTTTCGGCTCTTGCCTGCTCTAGGCGGGGCTGGAGGTCGGCTATGATTTTTGATTCATCTCCATATTTCGTTTCCAGAAAGGTTATGGCATGATTATAGTTTTTTTCAGTGACGGGGTATCACCTTATACTTTCCCGTGCTTCACCTTGCAGTGCGTTCAATAGGTAATTGAACATTTGTAGATTAGTTAAAAACAAAAATTTCCCAAACTCTTACATTTCCCCCGTTATTGGAAGGATGGGAATAGCTGGCAATTGTGGTCTTGTCGCTCTGGCGTGTTTGCTAGTGGATTGAGTTGAACCATCCTTTGCCACTGGCCGTTGTGCGCGATCGCGGGCGCTCAAAGGCCTTGCTTCTGTTTCGATGACAGCAATTTGTGCTTACTCCAACATCGTACGCTCCCTCTCAACATGTTCTTGAGCCTGTGCTTCTTGCTCATCGGTTAGTGATTCAATCAGTGAGTCAAATGAGGCTGTGGAGGCGCATAAGGTTACTTTGACTAGTCTGAAGTAGAAGGAAACTGCAGGGAGAAGGCTACAGGTGTAGGGAAGCTTCTGGGACAAAATTTAGGATACTTTCCGTTCTGACGGCGTTCTCATTTTCTTGAATATTATTGCAATATTACAATTCATTAGAATATCTGCTCAATGAAGCTTTCTGTGATTTGAGTGATGTCGGTCCCGTCATAGCCTATAGTATTTTCGAGACTTCGAAAAATTCGAAGCGAAGTGAAAGGAAAAGAAGCTCCGGATCAAAGAATGCCAAGCAATTAGCGAAGAGCGAAGAGCGTCCTTGATAAGCCAGTTGCTGAGCCGTGAGTTGCATTAAGTGTATCTGACCGGATCCTCAAAGTGATTGATGCACCATATATTAACCATACTGACAATATAGCCGTTATATCAAGTATAATTGTTTCTTCTTGGCACGATAGTCTCGCCACAAACACCACCACACGATAGATTATTGCGACAAGCGAAACCTCAAACTTGGGTAATCAAGCCATAAGAATAAGAGCATAACAATTGCATACAAAAGGGTACGAACCGTCATTTATACAAAAGGCACAACCCGTCAAGGATATGGCGTATCGATATATAAAGCGAAAAAGCTTAAGTGAGTGCCTAGTGAGACATATTTGATTAGCGTACAAAGCACAAGGAAATAAATGAGCATTTCTTAAAGGGCGCCATACAAAGCATGATAGAAGCGTGGATTGCGTGAGGGCAGCGTGGAAGACATCAAGGACAATTGGCCTCCGTCCTCGTTGTGGCGTGCTTATATATGGGAGGCATCGAGACTTGCACGACGGGAATGCATTTTGTTTCGTGAGGAAAGTGAGACAAGGGATAAGAAAAATGATATAAGGGAATGTTTCCAGTCGTGCAAGGCTCGATGCGCCGAGATTGCAACTTGATTCGCATTACAGTTGCAATAAGGAAACTGGTCGCGAAATACTTAGCTGATGACTGACGACTCGGCTAGACTATGGCGGCTCTTTTGTTTGGCTCGTAGGTGCACGTGTGTAGTCCTTAGCCAGCTGC